TAACCAAGAAACTCAGCAATAGCCATAAATTGCTCCTTGCTGTGCTGCAGGTCATGCAGCCTCCTGTTTTTGCCTCTGTACTGACAGACAGTGTGCAAAATGATCCATATTTTAAATGATGGTGATTTCTTTCAAAAAGAGTCGATTCCTCACTCGTCGGTGGGACTTACTCTCTCTACTTGAGGCACAAAGTGTTTCTCAGGGTGTTGCTCTCAAGTGGTGGAAGAGTGAAGCCGAGTATTGACATCCTGTCTATTGAGTGTCATGACTTCCCAAGACTTACTGTTTGTGGTTATAGCAATTTACATCTTACTGTGCCTTATTTTCATTTTTATGCAGTTTCTCAAAGAAAACAGCTGTTTTCTTTAGCATGCATGTTTCTTCTGTTTGTAGAGAACAATCTCATCTCACAGCACATGCTGCACTGATACCGCACCTGGTAGTTAGCACAGACAGTATAGAAGATGAACGTCGTCACTGTGACTTCACCCAGTGGGTTTCACAATCTTGATTTTCAGTGTTGGTGAGCCAAAAGTCACTCTTGACAGGCCAGATTTATAAATACATATAAACAGATGACTCAGATTTATAAATACATATAAACAGATGACTCACAAACATTTTGCAGTTTGTTTTTTAAACAGAGGCACAGTCAGTTCACTTAGTTTGGTCCAATTAGCAGTAGAGTGTGTTGCAAACATTAGCAAATGAGTTTGTGTACTTGCTTTAAATATGTTTTACTCTATACTTTTCACCAATTCTTTCACTTCTTTCACATCTTTCTAAAAATGCTTAACACTATTCTTTTTTTATGTGTCTAAACTCAGTTTGTGCTCTTGCAAATCATCAGCAAATCTGGGTTTATGAATTAAAAAGTTGGAGTACTTTTGGATTTCTTTTTATAAGCTAATGCTAGCTAGCTTGGTTAGCAAGCGACTTTCAAAAACTGCACATACGCTACATTCAGACACACAAATCACACAGATACCAAAATAGTGAAGTTGTAGATTTTAACAAGAGGGTCTTTGGGGATTGATTTCTATTTGGAGACAACCTCAAGTTGCACGTAGAGGAACAGCAGTTTTTTCTGTGTTGGCTTCATTTTTCAGATCTGGAAGTTTCCCTTTGGCACTTATGCTGCATTCCATTTGAACAGAGAAATCAGTACTCCTGAGTTTCAAATCTGATTTTTAAACTGGAATGCCCCCTCAAGTCAAATTTCCAGCTCAGAAAGTCAGAGGAGTCCCACGAGCTCTAACTTCATAATCCAAGATGGCAGCATTGCATATAAACAATAGTAAAACTGTCAAACTTGCCATTGGTGCTATCGCTGTTATGGATTAGAGACTCATACACAGAACACTGATGGGGCACTATGCAGTGCAAAAAACACAGGAATTGTGATGGATGAATGGCTCTACCTTGCAAAGGACCAAAACAAACTTGTTTTTCCAACTTCTTCTCCTGGAACTGACATCACTCCCAGCTCCGACATCCAACTTCCAGGGTAAAAGGAATGCAGCATTAGTAGCATTCTTCTTGGTCACTGGTCAACAGCTTGCTGGGGTATTGTCACCATTGTCTGGAGGTTGTCACCTATTGCATCCTAGCAGGCGCTGGGGAGAACAAGAGGAAATATACATTAAATGAACAGGAAAAGCTACTTAAACTCTCTTATTTTTCATAACTTGTCCACTATTCAAAAACTATGCTCACATCTATTTCTATGTGAATACAATGAAATGCTGTAAATGCTGGAGCAGCAATAGGAGACATCCTTACCTAAAGCAACAGCAGCTGCTATGCGATGTGGATTAAAATGACCCATCTACCTTGAATCATTGATATCAATGAGTTGATGTGTCTCAAGAGAGCCCAGAGGATACTAAAGGATATACCTACCTCAGCCTGTTCACCCTGCTGCCATTATTGCAAATA